TTCATCTTAATTTCTCCACTAAGCTGAGCTTTCAACATGTTGATTTCAGACATGTTTTTGCAAGCTATAAACAAGTCATCAACATACAACAACTAGTACAAATACGAACCATCAGAGAGCTTCATGTGATGCACACAACTGTCAAACTTACTCCTACAGTAGACATTCCCAAATATAAAGGTTTCAAAATGCTTATACCACCGTCTAGAACATTGTTTCAGCCCATAAAAGGATTTTTTTAGTAGGCAAACATGATATTCCTTTCCAAAATCTTAAACCCCTCAAACTGATGCATATAAATCTGCTCTTCCAACTGACAATGTAAGAAAACAGTCTTAACATCAAGTTGTTCAAGCTCCCAGTCATACAGAGCAACCATATTAAGTAACACCCGGATTAAGCTATGTTTCACCACAGGAGAAAACACTTCATTGAAGTCCACCCCTTCCCTCTGTGTAAAGCCCTTCGCCACCAAGCGTGCCCTGCACCTCGCACTTACCACACTTGGAATTCCTTCCTTCTTCTTGAAGACCCATTTATAGCCCCACAATCTTTTGGCCCTTAGGCTTCTTAACTAGCTCCCAAGTATGGTTCTTATAAAGAGACTCAATCTCCTTACTTATGGCGACAAACCACTGTGCTGACTATCCACCTATGATGGCCTCATGATAAGTACACGGCTCATCAATATCCTCTGCCAGACTAAGTGCATATGCAACTGTATCAGCGTGTGAAAACCCATACTTCTTAGGTGGCCTAATATACCTCCTAGGCCTGTCTCTAGCCACACTATACTGCTAGAAATATGCATCTCCCATAGCCCGAAACTACACCTGCTTGTGAGTTGACCGAATAAGACTATCCTCTAATTGAACCTCTACATGCTCCACTGCTCACGAACACCTTGAGCTTTCCCTGAAGCAACTACCTCATTCTGCGGATTAAGCATCGCAGACTCATAAAAGGTCACATCCCTGTTAACAAGTATCTTCTTTCCCGAAGCCTCAGGGCATCATAATCTGTATCCCTTGACACCAAGCTGATAATAAAGAAATATGTATTTCTGATCCTTCGGTTCCAGCTTCCCCTCATTCACATGAGCATACACTGGACACCCAAATATTATCAGATTACTGTAATTAGCAGGAGAACCAGACCATACCACTTCTGGAGTCTTACAGTTGATAACAATCGATAGAGACCGGTTCATCAAGTAATTAGCTATAGAAATAGCTTCAGCCCAAAACGCTTTGTCTAACCCTGTATTCGACAACATACACCGTGCCCTCTCCAATAGCGTTCTGTTCATCCGTTCTGCAATTTCATTATACTACGGAGTCTTCTACACTGTGTAGTGTCTCACAATCCCATGAGTCTTGCAGAACTCATTAAATTCTCCATCACAAAATTCCAAGCCATTATCTATCCTCAAGCGTTTGACCTGTTTTCCTGTCTGCTTCTCAATCAAGATCTTCCACTGCTTGAATGTAACAAAAGCCTCATTCTTGTGTTTCAGAATATAAACCCAAACTTTCCAAGAAAAGCCATCAATCAGCGTCATCACATATCTACCACCACTATGTGAAGTAACCTGAGAGGGACCCCAAAAATCAAAATGAATATAATCCACCGTACCTTGGGTCTTGTAAATTCCTGTACTGAACTTCACTTTGCACTACTTCCCAAAGACACAATGCTCACAGAAATCTGGCTTCCCAATTTTCTAACCAGTAAGCAAACCTTACTTACTCAGAACAATTATCCCCCTCTCACTCATTTGCCCAAGCCGCAGATGCCACAATCTGGTAGTATTTGAATCTGGATCTAAGGACGATACGACAATTGAACCCGTGATTCTGCTACCCTACAGAGCATATAAACCATGCTTCATTAGTCCCTTCATCACCACAAGAGCACCCTTGGAAACCCAAAGGACTCCATCTCCAGCCTTATAAGTGCACCCGATGGAATCTAACATACCCAGAGAAATCAAATTCTTTCTCAGTTTTGGTACATGCCGGACATCAGTCAGAGTTCTCACTATGCCATCATACATCTTGATTCGAACTGTACCGATACCTACAACCTTGCATGCCATATCATTCTCCATCAGAACTTCCCCTCCATCAATAGATCGATAAGATGTAAACCAATCCCTATTTGGACAAGCATGAAACGAGCAACCCGAATCAAGAATCCACTCGTCGCAAGAGCTGCCGACAGAAATTGTGGAACATTACCACCATTTGAATCATTACCTTCTGTAACAACCACACTTTTAATTTTAGAAAATTTTACCATTCCATTCTTACGCTATGGACAATCCTTTTTGAAATGCCCTTCCTTGTGACAAATGAAGCATCGCAACACCTTCATTTTGTTCTTAGACTTAGAACGACCTTTGCCGCCAGACCCTCCCTTCTAATTCGTTCTTCCTCTAACAAATAACCCTTCTGCCGAATTTTCTGTATTGCCTTAAAATGCCATTTTCTACAACTCCTTAGAATTCAGAGCTGCCTTCACGTCTTCCATGGACAAGGCAGTTTTACTATACATCATTATATCGACAAATTTCTTATACGAGGGTGGTAGAGAACACAACAAAATAATAGCTTGATCTTCATTCTCTATCTTGACATTAATATTATTCAAATCCATGATGATACTATTTACCTCATCAAGATGGTAAGACGACCCTTCGTGCATCTGAAGAGTGAACAACCACTTCTTTAGATAAAAGTAATTCATAAGAGATTTCGTCATACACCGGAACTCAAACTTCTGTTACTGCCCATCCGCCGTAGTCTCTCCAGTAACTTCTCGCAGAACCTCGTTATTCAAGTACAACAAAATCGTACTGTGTGCTTTCTCCATAACCTCATCTTTGTGCTTAATCTTTTTTGGCAATGCATCCTTTACCTTCAGCGCCTTGGACAACCCTTGTTGAACCAACAAAGCCTGCATCCTAACCCGCCATAGGTTGAAATCGTTTCTATCGTTAAACTTCTCTTCTCCAGAAACTTGGACGACATCCTTACTCCGAATCGGAAGCGAGTTGAATCAAGAATCACGACAGAAAAGTAAACACACCACATAAAGATTTCTACGTGGTTTGGCAACAGCCTACGTTCACGGTCGGGATCCGACGAAAGTTTTTACTGTGTAAAATTGGAAATTACAAGATTTCAGCCTCCTACTTTGTTTTTGTTCAAATTCCAGAGTCTTTCTCCCTCAATCTTTTAATTCTTAACCCACAACATATGTACCTATTTATAGAGTTACAAACATAATTCTTTGTTGGACAGGGATTACAATTCCTTAGAGGCCAAGACTTGCCAAATAAGAAATTACCTAATAGAATACAATTCTAAAATAGAATCCTAATTAGAATAAGAATTTGAAACACAATTTCCAACACCGTGCAAACTCACCACTGCTGGAATTGCGAACTTCTTCTCTTCATCACTACCAATTTGATTTTCTCACCAAACTTACAGGGATAGTAATGAATCAACGAATTTTCAAAGATTCAGATGTGAATTGAATGAATTTGGTGAGCGGTCAATCTCCTCACTCGTGATCTTCCCCAATTTTATCGCTAAAACAAGTGTTTTGCCAAAGAACGACGATGCGGATGGTTAAACTTAAATTGCCGTGAAATTTGATGATTGTGACACATTTCAGTCTCCTCACCCGAGTCCGTTGTTGCAATCTTCAAGTTCAATGATATTACATCACTCCGGCGAGTAAGAGCGGGATGGAGAGAACATATCAGTGTCTACTTACTCCACTTAACAATTATAGTTATTTTATTTTATTTTTTTATTTTTATTTTTTTTCTCATTTTCATGTCATTGCACGACTCTTTGAAATTCAATTTCACTCGTGGTATAACCAGACCTATCATTAAACGGAGCATATATATGGTTGAGACAAAAAAAGGTTTAGAATATTTATTAATTTATTTGCTTATGACTTTTATCATTGATCCTACTAGTTAGTAGTTAGGTGTTATAAGTTGAATTTTTCCTAACATCTGATCCAAAAAGAAAAATGTATGAATATAAATGAGTTGGTATACAATATTACCTAATAGCTTAAGTTTTTGGTTAAATGAGTAAGTACCCACCCGTTACAATTGGTATCGATACCAGACTCAATCCTTGATCCGATACCATGCCAAGCGCTCGGGTAGGCAGAGTGACCCAACCGCGCAAGTTCGGGTGTGGGAGTAAATAACAAGTGAAAACTTGTTCTACATCGAATCCGAATGGAAAAATGTATGAATATAAATGGAAGAGTTACCACCGAATTACGATCCTTGGTAGTATATTTACCAATGTGATACCATTTCAAAATATTACACTAGTTACCTTTTACAAAAATATTGTCAATCCACAAGTTTAATACTATTTCAGTTGATTTTTTAAAATCTTATAATTATTTAAATTTGTCTCCACTTAAACAAATTTTTGGGTCCGACAAATGCAACTGAAAAATGATAGCATTCATACTGTAAAATATATGGTACTTGGGTTTTGGGTATGGTTTAGCAATCATATCGAAATGTTTGGTATTTAGGTTTTGGGGTACTACAAAAGGCTTGACATTAATGTCGAAATCCTTCGTTGACAGCGTCGGCGTAGGGAAAACTATTATGAAATGCCGACCCTCAAAGGAGAGCAGTGTAATAAATGAAAACATAGGAAAACACTGTAATAATGGAATACGTTAGGAAAAGTCCCCCCTAATTATCCCCTTTAAAAAAATGATCATGTTAATGTCAAATGAATCTCTAAGAGTCTTGTACTAAACCTTTAAACACTTCATTCCTTTCCCCTGGTCCCAAAATGGCAGTTCAAAGTACGAAATCGTTTATCATGTTATAAAACAGGCCTGCTGAGTTTTCAGATGTTAGTCCAAAACATTGACACCTCGACCAAAACAAGCAAACCTAGTCAACTCGAAATGTCCTTTTTTTTTTTTTTTTTTGATAAGTAAATAAGATTTAATAAAAAGTGTTCAACGCATCCCAGATACAATAAAAAGCAGGGACCTAAGGCCCCAAGGAATCCAGAAAATCAATAGTCTCCGTAGGGGAGTAACAAAAACTACCCGAACCCCAAAAAGAAAGGGAATTAATAACAGAAGATTTGAGAGCAGCACCCGAAGATTCCTGTCCCTCGAAAGCTCTTTTATTGCGCTCCCTCCACAAACACCACCAAAGGCACAAAGGAGCCATCCTCCGCTGCCCTCTAGTTTGTGTCCTCTGACTTCAATGCCAAAAGTATCGTCTCTCTTGGTCCCTGAAACAGTCAAGGTGATCAAAAGTGAATATAAAATGAGCAAGATACCAAAATTTGCGAGGGCAGGAGTCAAGTCTCTTACAGATATTAACAAAAAAATAAAATTTAAAATGAAAAGAAAAAAAAAAAAAAAAGAGCATTTCCTAAAACACAAACCATCAATCTAAATGCTCCACACATGTTGATCTTCATCTAAACATACTTCATTATAATGTTGTTGGAGTGATGTATGTAGGTGAAGAAAGGTTCTGACACCACATGTAGTAGGGGAATGCTATGATGTAGAACCAGGAGAGAGGAGGAGAAGAGATCTATTTAAATAACTTCATCAAATTTATCTATTTTTGCTCCTACACAAGTAGAGGCCAATCACATACGGCTCATCCATTCGAGTCACATCTCTTTCTCTTCACAGAGTACCTCCAAAACCCCTAATAATTGAAAACTGGATTTGTATTTACCATGAGGCAGAAACTCAGAACTCACATCACGTATAATTTTTACCATCTGGTTAGAAGAGTAATTAGGTTTTAAATATTGCAAATAATTACAAACATATCATGACTCAAAAAGAACATTTCAATGACCGATGCTGCATCAACCAGGAGCTGCAATCATGTATAATTTCGTACCCAATTGACCTGGTTGGATGAAAAAGCTGTTACTATTTTTTTTTTGATAAGTAAAAGCTGTTACCATTTTGAAAAAAGGAAAAACAAGCGATAAACAAAAAACTGAAAAAAAAGGGTGCAGGGCTAAACAAAGAATGCTGTGGTGAAATGAAAAAACTAGTAAAGAATGGCGTATGTAAAGCTTATAGGTACTACCAGTGGATACCATTTTCTACAAAAGTCAACACACATGGTTTCGTCACGCACATGGAAGTTTAAACTAATTATAAGAAGCCATGAGGTTTTATATTCCTACTGGAAAGCTAGAGGACCTGAAGGTTAACATAGAGTTAAGAGAGTGAAAAAGAGGCTCTATACAGAACACAATAGAAAAATATTTTAGCTCACAATAGACATATAGCTCTTAGGGTTAGCAAGATTTCACTTTCTGTGTAGAGGGGTGTAGCGAGAAGCGGCCGAAGTGTGCATTAGGGTATATCTTATCTCATTACTTAAAAAGAACAATCCAACGGTCGAGATCAACTATGTATAGTGTGGCGACCTTGTAGCCAGGTACGAGACACTGGCAGGCTACCACACTGGGCGAGAATGGTGAAGTGTTTGTATGTGATGGTGTTATCTCCAATTGGTACGAGACCTTTGGGGGTAAAACCCAAGAACAAAACCGTGCATGCTCAAGCACAAAGTGGACAATCTCATACTATGTCGAGGAGTGGGTGGTTACAAATAGCTTATGGGCTAACGCCTAATGGGCTATTGAGGTAATGGGTCTGTAAAGATTAAGTAACTGATTGAGGGCCTATGGAACAAGCGTGAATTGGGCTAATGTTGTACATGTGGGTTAAAATTTAAAATATAGTGGGCTTTTAAGTAAACGAGCTTGTTCACGAGCCTAATGAACCAAGCTTGGAGAACTGGGATGCTTAATCAACGATCGTTTGTTTACTTAACAGACGATCCCAAGCCGAGCTTTTAATGAGCACGAGCTGTTCGTGTCATTTGCAGCCCCCCACTTTCTTTATAGGAAAAAGCTTGTCACAGGCTGCATGAGTGGTAATCGCCTTCCGATGTTGATAGGAACCCGTGACATGAAACGTGTCAAAAAAATTTGCCTAAATGATTTGGATCTTTTTCCGGGTCATCCAAAGGAAAGAGCATTGTTTCCTCTAAGAATTGTTTTTTCTTTTCTCATGCATCTGTGACAAACCTAGTAGCGCTCTCTCACTCCTCCAAGTCACGCTTCCTTCTCTCTTCCACCAAATTGCCATTGATGCTCATGAACTCCTCAATTCTGAAATCCTTATATCTCGGGCCACTGGCAATGTAAAAGAAGGGAAGCTATTACTCTCTCTCTGCTAGAAGCGATTTTCGGCAATCAAGGTTTCCTGAGGATTGCTACTTATCAAAAAAAAAAAAAAAAAAAAAAGGTTTCCTGAGGATTGCTGCTACTAACATGGATTAGGGTTTATGGGAGGATCATTCCTTTGAAGTAGTAAATCTACCACTTCTCCTCCTCAACGGGGAGGTTGAATGCTTCCCAACTGAAGATGGTAGGACCTTTAGGGTCGATCATCAAAGTACGCAATGCCGAGAATCAATTCTTAAATCCTGCCTTGTTGGACGCTTCGACAGAGTTGTGGGAAGCATCTAGTCGATTGAGATGCGGGCGACGCAAAATTGGAAGATCGCGCGCAGGGTAACGGTTTCAACAATGCCTGATCATCTTCTCCTATTCAGATTACCATCCGAGAAAGAGGCACAAAGAGTCCTTATTTCTGGCAAGAAGACATGGGGCGCTGCTACTTTGGCAATTGATGTTTGGTATTTTACCGTCGGTTGCTCGGCGGTGAGAACAAGGGGAAAGGGAAGACGAGTGGTGATGTACGGATTGCCCCTTCATCTTCGCTATCAGAGGTTGTTCGAAGCATTTGTGCGGTAATTTTAGAGACGTGGAGGTGGATGATATGGTGGTAGGGAAGAGAATTTTTTTTTTTTGATAAGTAATAAGTAATAATATATTAAAAGGCATTCAAAAAGGGGAACGCGTCCCGAATACAAAACGAAAGAAAGACCTAAGGACCCATGGAGTCCAATAGATCAACGTCTATGGAGGTGGTAGGATAGAGAATTACTCTTTATGTTTCCAATGAAGGTGTGATCCCAGAGTTCATCTTTATCGAAGATCATAGAGTAGCCTTCAAAGTTGAATTAAGGGAGGAATCTTCACCATCCATTCTTCCGAAAGCCTCCATCGATTCATTTGGTAGATCCACACCACATCGTTGTCTTTCCACTAATCCTCAAGGACAGAGACGCATGAGGTTCTCTGGGGTGGAAGGGGAGAGGAGTTCAAGTATCTTGCTAAATGGGAGCAAGTTTGCAAGCCCTTTAAGCTAGGCGCTCCAACCTTTTCCTTTTTTTTTTTCCGGATAAGTAAATTGTATAAAAAGGTGTTCAAAAGGGGAACGCGTCCCGATAACAGAACAAGAACCAAAAGAAAACAAAAAGCAATTAAAACCAAGGAAAGAGGAAACCTATGGACCTAAGGATCCCAAAAAATCCATGATCTCCTCTGTAGAAGAACAATCTCTTCCCATACCCCAACAAAAAAGAGAACAAATGATGGAGTACTTTAAAACCCCAATGGGTAATTCCTCCCCAACAAAAGATCTTCTATTACGCTCTTTCCACAGACCCCACCAAATACAAAAAAGAGTCACCCTCCAGAAATCGCGAACACGAGTTCCCACCCTTTGCCCCTTCAAAACATCAATAAGACCCCGTGTGGTCCAAGGCATAACCCATTGAATGCCGAAAAGACCCAACATAAGGCTCCAACAATCATGAGCAACTGGGCAGTGCAACAGAAGGTGATTCACGGACTCCCCATCGGTCATAGAAAGGCAACACCAATTAACAATAATATGTCTTCTTTTACTTAAATTGTCCACAGTCAAGATCTTACCCCAAACAGCAGTCCAAACAAAGAAAGCCACCTTAAGAGGAGCCTTCGAATGCTAAACCATTTTCCACGGGTAAGAGGAGGCTTGAAAATCGAATTTACAAAAAAAAGAAGACCGGACCTGAAAAATCTCCTGTGAAGAAGGCACCCAAGTCAAGATATCCACCCCAGTACCATCCACTTTCCGTCGGTACAAAAGATCCAACAATTCAAAAACATCATCCAGCTCCCAATCCTAAAAAGCTAACCTGAACTGAACATCCCAAGAAAGCCTACCGCTATCAAGGTGATAGTAGTCAGCAACCATAGCATGACAATCCACAACAATACTAAACAATCTAGGAAACCATCTGCACAATGGACGATTCTCACACCAGGGATCCGCCCAAAACCAAACATTTCGATCTTCCCGAACTCTAAATCTAATATGTTTAGAGAACTCATCCCACCCCTTCCCAATGGAATGCCACACACCCACACCAATAACAATTCTAACCGGTCTAGTAGACCATCCCCCCCTCACCTCCCCAAACCGACAAACAAAAAGCTTCCTCCAAACTCTATGTCTTTCACTACCAAACCTCCAAAGCCACTTGCCAAGAAGAGCCCTGTTGAAAGGTGCCAGTCTCCAAATTTCAAGATCTCCCGAATTAATGGGCCTCCAAACTTGCCACCTAACAAGATGATACTTTAACTCCTCTTCCCTACCACCCCAAAGGAAATTACGTTGAATCATCTCAAGTCTCCTAACAACGGAAGATGGAATCTGGAACAAGGAAAGAAAATAAGTTGGAAGACTGGACAGAACACTGTTAACCAACATGACCTTTCCTCCTTTTGAGAGAGATTGTTTTTTCCACCCAGCCAACCTTTTCTCGAAATGCTCAATAACCGGATCCCAACTACCCGCCCTTCTAGAGGAAACACCCAAAGGTAATCCCAAATAAGAAAAAGGGAAAGAGCTCGTCCTACATCTAAGAACCGCTGCGAGAGAATCCACCTCCTGAACCTCCCCCACAGGAACAAACATACTCTTGCCCACATTAATTCTCAAACCAGAGACAGCCTGAAAACACACCAGAACACATCTCAAGTATCTCAATTGATCAGAGTGATTGGCGGTGGTGGTGGTTCGCTTGAATTTTCCGTGACTTGGAGATAGAAAGAGAGCCCACAGATCCGTGAGATAAAACCACAGACGTGAGAAAAAACCGTAAACTGATTCATATTTATTTTTGGCACGTGTCAAGTTGTTAGTGGTCCATGTCAGCACAAGGAAGAGATTCCTGCTTAAGCGGCCTAAGGCAAGCATTATTCTTCTTTATATTGCACCAAAATTGATCCACTTACAATCTACTTATCAAAGGAGACATGAACAATGCATTTCTCTCAACAACTCTGTAATTCATATATTGAACATTCTTCCCTTTAATTAACTAACTATAAGTTGTTCACTTTAAGATAGAAATAGAGAGAGAAGCTGGGAATTCAAAAACAAATAACAAGCAAGGTGGAAGCATCGCTAGATAAGTAGTGAGATTTTTTAATTACAAAAACATTAAAGATGATAGGAAATTATGACATTTCACAGGAAAATTTAATGTCTTTCCGACACCAACTTTTGGTAAGGGGAGTTTCCGTAGGTTTTTTTCACACGTTTAATATACCTGTAATTAAGGATTACCTCAGGAATGTTGGTGTAATTATATCATTATATCTCCCAGTACCATATCATTTTTTTTTTTTTCTAGATGTATGAAAATCATACGTAAGTCTTTTCCTTTACTCCAACAATGTTTAACTATTGTCTTACTAAGTAAATCACCTCCATTGTGGATATTTCTAGCATAATACCCAAATTAGTTATCAGATACAATAGATTCATTTCTTAATTTAATTCAAAAGCCCCTTTTCCATATTTTCGTTGCATGACTTGTTAATTTATTGCTACAAGTATTTTTGGAACATAAAATTTAAAAATTTGACTGACCTAGTTGATTGACGGGAAGAAGGGTGGTTAGGGTGATTTTGTAAAACCTCAAGGAAGGTTGACCACAATTTTCCAACTAGTTTCATCTGAAGGAAATTTCAAAAAATCACTAAGGATACTTTACCCTAAATTCTATTTCTGAAAGTCCTCAATAAGCCAAAGAATAAAGTTTCTAAAGGTGCAATGGTAAATTAAGAAATAGTACATAGAGTAGGCTTAGTCTAGTTGAGTTTACCTTCGGTAACCCTTTCTTCTTGAGATCCTCACCAGTCATGTTTGCAAGACGTGGCATATCAATCTGCAGAAAAAGCAGGAGACATCAAACCAGTGATAGAATTTCTGAGGGTAAGAACCAAAGCAAGTACATAAAATTGCTGTAAACAAAGGAAAGCCATAAAATTCACACACGTCCTCATCTTCGAATATAAATGAATAGTCTCGAAGACCCAGCGGCTTCAGGAATTCCCACACCGATTTAGCCTGCACCAAATATGTATCACCTGTGAGTACCAAAAAACACATTATACTATGTATTTGGTCCCCAAACCCTATTATTTCTATTTTTTTTTTTTAAAAAAAAAAAAAGTCTACAGCTAAGCTGATGTTTAAGATAATTTGGGAGCAGAATCTGCAGCTTCACCAAGGATAAATATATCCCTCCAGGGTGAATAACCAACATAAGTTTAGCCAATTGTTGGGAGAATTGGTGATAAATTAAACTATTTCCAGTGAGACACAAGTTTTATTTTAAAGAAATAGAGTGATCGTCTAACCACTTGATCAACATATAATAACTATAAAAAACAAGTCAACTCTTGAAAAATTTCCAAACGGATTGAAAGAAGGGAGTCAAAAAAAGATATTTAATATACATTGCACTAAAAGTACAAAGGACTGAAACCTAGTAGTACCTCCTCTACCTCCCAAAGTGGAAGGTGAGGGTTCAAGTTCCCATAGGGGCAAATGAGTGTGAGTTTCTTGTTAAGTAATAAATTGCACCAAAAGTGAAAATAAAAATTACTAAATCCATAAACTTGAGCGGCATTTCTTACCCCTCCCAAAAGGGGAAGGTGAAGGTCCCAATTCCGCTGTCACATTTACGTCGATCTTACCCAGAAGAGAGAAAGAACAAGCACCACCACCACAACCAAGCCATTTCCCAATTAAGGCCATAGTTCCAGTCAATCCACCAGCTATCATATCTTTCTTTACTAACTATATCCCCGTTAACTTTGGTCTATGTCACCTTTGCTAAACAATGCATTTACTTTGCACATCACCAAACCATCGTAACCAATTTTCTCTCATTTTATCCCCCAATTGGTGCTACTCCAACCATCTCCCGAATGTGATCATTTCTAATTCTGTCCTTTCTATTCTTACTTCACACACATATATCTCAACATTCGCATTTCCGCCACACCCACTTTATGCAAAATGTTGTTTCCTAACTGCCCAACATTCAGTACCATAGAGTATGGCTGGTCTAATAGCCGTTCGATATAACTCTCCTTCCAATCATAAAGGGATACACTTATTACATAATATACTAGATGCACTCATCCATTTAATTTATCATTTTATTTCTAATGATTAAGGTGATCTCCAATTTCTCTCCCATTATGAATTACTGATCCTAAATAATGAAACACCATAGAAATTTAGGGAAAAAAAAAAAAAACACCAAAGCAAAATTAAAACTTCATTCTTTGTCACAGTGATAAATGCAACCACAGAAGTAATATTTTGAAATTTGGAGAACAATTAGATTAGGGCAATTTCCTTATTTCTTTTCCCAGAAACAGAGGTTGAGCTGCCGACTCTTTTTATAGCAGGTTGACTGCCCTCAGGTACCGACTCCAGCTTTGGTGGATCAATGTTCATTGGCTGCAAAGGCGTGTAGATACAGCGATGCATAAGGCACTCAGAATGGTCCTTAAGACCTGAAATAAAACCATTCCACTTCTGAGTTCTCTGCTTAAAAATCCTTCATTAAAGCCCCAAAGTAAAACATATCTAAGACAAACTATACAAGCCATTGACATTCAATCAAAATATTATGTACAAAAGCTGCTATATATTATTATTTTTATTTATAATTACTAGACACACACACCCACACCCACATATATATATATACATATATAAGTCAAATAAAAGTAAAACTGCAGCCTTTAGATGAATGCAACTGTATCTCAAACAATTCATACCTGTCCGGCATTCAGACTTGTAGTCATATTGACTCCGCCTGAAAAACAAATCACATTGAAACAAATCATATTTGGAAATTTGATAATAAAATTAAATTTCTTTGAATGAAAATATCATTGCAATAACACGGCCTAAGAAGGATTCATCAGCTAAAGGGTTTCCAGTTGCATATCTTCATAAAAATTTCTTTAACTTTATTCGTGTCCTTTTACTTCATCTTCATACCCCTCGACAGCAATATATAAACAGATAAAGACATATATAATATTGTCACTTTCCCTGTTTCTTATTTTGCATTGCAATTACACACAATCTGAATGCAAAACATTTCCATTGATACTAGATAATATAAATATAGATACCTCTCAACAAGTTATGCAAACTTCTAATTTTTGTCAAGCTGGTTACTGCAACAACCAAAAAATATCAATACACTACTGTGAGGGTCAAATGTGCAACTAAAACTTGCCTCTGATACAAGCAACAATCAAACTCGGGCTTCCAATATTTAAAACTATTTATCACCAAAACTTACTCTTGTTTTAAAGCCTTGGGGATGAGCAGATCCGGGAAGCTACCCCACAGTAGGTTTGAGATCTCCTTCTACAGGAGATTGGTTGGTGTGCGGGAGTTTCCTCTCCCCAGGAAGGCCATTTGGTGCACAAAAGCCCGTTAAAGGTGGCTTTCTTTGGGTGGAAGGCAGGCTTGGTGAGGATCTTGATGACAAAAGACCTAAGGTGAAGAAGATAAATCATTGTTAATTGTCGTTGCATGTGCAAGAGAGATGAGAAGTCCATAAAGCATCTATTTTTCCATTGTCTAGTGGCTCGGGAGGGTTAGCATTTGCTTCTTGTCATGTTTGGTGTTTGTTGAGTCATGCATTTTGCCACGAAAGATTTGCTCACAGATTGGCAAGGTTGTATAGTGGGGAAGCAAGCTCGAGACGATTGGAGGGTGGCCCCTCTTTGTTTGTGGTGGGGCCTTTGGCGGTTTAGGATTAAGAGATCCTTTCATGGGAAGAATCTTGTTCGGGCTTTAGAATTCTTCATATTTAGAACCTTATTTTTTCAAATTCATGGTAGATTTTGAAAATAAGTGGAGGTTTTAATTGTTTTGTGGATAGAATGAGGATATAGGGCTTCTCGTATATGGGCACAGTCCTTGAACGCCTTTCTATGATATCTATACTTGTATAAAATGAAAATAAAAAATAAAAAGAATCAACACAATCATCATTAAAAGTTACAATTTGTCATTGCCACTTAGTCAACTAAGACATCGCTGTGCAAGGATTTTGTGCAGGGCCAACTGCGTTGTTCAGGGACGGACCTGAGCGAGGCCCAGTGAGGCACTTACCCCCACTGGATTTTTTTTAAAAATCCTACTTTTACCTATAAAATCTTGGGTAATTTCATAAACGCACCATAACTTTTATCTTTAGCCCCATTGCTATTTTTCTTCTATCACGAGCGCTCATGCACATAAACAATAACCATGAACTCCATTATCTCTACTCTCCATCTCGACTATCCATGGCTCTCTCTTGAATAACCAAATAAATAATTTTCTCCAATATCTCTAGTCTCCATCTCGACTATCCATGGCTCTCTCTTGAATAACTAAATAAATAATTTTTTTTCTATTCTTTTAATTGGCAATCCAACTCTGCCTCAAAGAAGTGCAAGTCCTAGGACGGTAGAAAAGTACTGATTAATTTTTATAATTGAGAAAAAAAAAAAAAAACAGAGTACATTTAATAATTTATTTGTTTATGACCTAGCCCTTGATCCTATTAGTAAGGACTGTCTTATAGAGATTGAGAAATAAAAATTTGGTATGTTGGTTTTGATCCCCAGAAAGTAACACACCTACACATTTTGCCCTCGTGGAGACTTGAACTCGGAACTTTTCACTCTGAGAGGTAGAAGAGATATCACTGAGTTACTACCCTTAGTGGTATATTTACCAATGTTTTAACATTTCAAAACATAAAACTAGTTAACGACGATTGTGAATGTATTTTACAAAGATATTATCAATCCATAATTAAGTTTAATATTATTTTAATTGATTTCTTTTACTTTATTATTATTTAAAGTCGCCCCACCTAAAACAAATTTTTGGGTCCATCACTGGCGTTATTGTTGTCAATGTATGCAGCTGAACAATGATAGCAATATATCATTCACAGTATAACATATGGTACATGGGTTTTGGGTATGGTTTAGCAATCATATCGAAATGGGGTAAAGTGCAGGAAACACCCATATTGTATGCTTACAGTGCATATCACACACCTCATGTACGAAAAACATCCCCTTAAGTATGAATTTGTGCAAATAAGTCCCACGTGACACATTTAAGAAAGACTTTGTCCAAATTACCCATATGGATACAATTTACACATTATTTTAAAAATATTCATTTTGTGAAATGACAAAAAAGGGAACGACTGGTGTCATACGCACTCTAAGCATACTATAAGGGTGTTTTCTCCACTTTACCTAATTTTTTTTTCTTTTCTCTTTCAGTAAAGATTAAACACCAATTTGTTGTTATGTAATGAATTATATATGTTTGTGTGTGTGTGAGTGAAAATTTAAGGAGTAGAGGGCAGCGCTACGGTATTCTTGGTCGCAGATGAAGGTGGGGGTGATTGAATACCCATTTTTTCCTATATAAGGAATTATATATATATATATATATATATATATATATTTGTGAAAAATAATAACTATATTAAATTTCAATTGGGAATAATTTTTTCTTTTATAATTATAGAAAGAACCAAGGTTTTCACTCCATATGATATAGTGTATATTTGACAACTGTGAGGACAAAGTTATATATATATATATATATATATATATATATATATTGTTTGAGATATTTTTATTATTAAAAAGGGCATGAGGGGTTGTCATACACAGTCTAAGCATACTATAAGAGTGTTTTCTACACTTTACCTGCAGCGATACGGTATTCTTGGTGGCAGATGAAGGTGGGGGTGATTGAACACCCATTTATTGCTATGCAAGGAATTATATAAATATATATATATATATATATATATATATATATATATATATTTGTGAAAAATAATAACTACATTAAATTTTAATTGGGAAATTATTTTTACCTTTTTATAATTATAGACTGAATTGAGGTTTTCACTCCATATGATATACTGTACATTTGACAACTGTTAGGACAAAGATATATATATATATATTTCATTTGCATTTGACCTGTAAAAGAAATACATATATTCGAACTTTCTAACTTATCAGTGGTATTGAGTCCTAAGAAATATAAAATAGTTAACTCATAGAGAGATAACACAGAGAGATAATACACTATTAGGGAACATATATAAAGAGATTTTTTTTTTTGGAAATGTCAGAGAAAATCCTTAAAAGTGAGTTAAATATAGTTAATGTACACATAACACCCCTCTATTATGAGATTACGGTTAATTTCACTGGCACCCCTTCAGGTTTGGACAAATATCACATTGAAACGCCTTTCGAAAATTATTATAATTCACATTACAAATGTTTGGTCCGTTTTTCACTCACACCCCAAAAGTTACTTTTAAAATGTGTTTTACCTATCAAAAGACATTGTTACCCCTTTGACTTTGTGTTGACCCATTCAAAAATTGAACACAAAACCCGTATTACCCGACCAAAGTACCCAATGAAACTAGTCTCACACACACACTTTCATCAATAACCATTATGACCATTGATCCCCACCCGTAGCCGCCACCACCAGTCACGTATATACACGCACATATATTATGGGTATTAAGCTTGTTTGGCTACTCGTGATAAAAAGAAAAGGAAAAAAAAAAATCGCCCCCATCATGTAACGACCACTCTCTCTGAACCACCACCGCCGAAGTGGAGGTAATGTTGCTTTTGCACTAGGAGATGAAGGAAGTAAAGGAGTGCATAGATAGGGGATCATGTGCCTAGTAGGTATAAAGTGAAAACCTATCCATATGGATATCCATTTGGAGTTGGACTTTCAAATAAACCAAATTAGAACATCACAGTCTCTTATCATGGAACTTTCTGAAAATTAGGCAGTTTTCCCTATAAAGAGTTTCTCAAATTAGATGAAGTTCTTTGCATTTAGAAGTGAGTTTTGCATTTGCCACCACCAAAAACGCCCCCACCACCGGTTCACCAACCCCAAACCCATCACCACCACCAAAATCTATAGAAAGAGAAAAAAAAAATTAGAGAGAAGAGTTATATAAACTCCACGTCTCTTCACCAACAAATCGTTCCTACCGTACAACAAAAATGCAAGACCCAACGCTGGACCGCCAGTTTCGACGCCACCCGAGGCTTTGACATCACTTTTGTCTTCTCATCATCGTTTAATTTGATGGCGTAATTGGCCGAATTCCAACACGCAGCAGCGGCACTCATCCGAGTGCTGCTCGATCAACCTGACTATGCCGTTCCCAGAATTCCAGAACTCGTAGGAGTTTTCCGGAGGCTTCACCAGCTGTTAACAGACGCTAACTCTAGAACACATGCATAGGTATATATATATATTGGCTTGTGCAATTCCAATCTGCATACAAACTTGGACGTAACCTTGTTGGTTTCTTAATCAAAGCTCATGAATCCATGCCCTACGGCAATACATCACAAAGATCATCCCATTTTGATTTCTTATTGTGGTGTGTATCAAATATGATTAGATAATATGGTTAGGCTACCAATAAAATTAAGCTATTTTTGCAATCTATATCCGATGATTTATCTGAAGGTATTGCGCGATTCTTCCATCCAATGAGTGATTATGAGAGAGAGGGGAGTAGGTAGGTTAGAGGAATGAATTAGGGCAAAACAGCCATTTTAGATTGTTGATATTTTGGAATAAAAATTAGGAGCAAATTTGTCTTTTCGCACGTTTTTAACGGTGTCATTGACGAAAAAGTTATTTTGGACCTAAGTGATAATAATTTTCAAAAGTTGTTTCAATTTATTTGTCCAAACCTGAGGGGGTGTCAATGAAATTAACCCATGAGATTATTAGCATACACGTCGCCTTGGGCATTTTCACAAGAGTAAATGGGTATAACGCGCATTATAGCATTACTTTATAACAGATTTCTATTTGAGGGGTGTTTCCGCACTATGTTAAATGAATAAGGGCGTTATTAACACACTTTTTCAACGAGGGGTGAAAGTGCTACATGGAGTATACATTAGGGGTGTTTTCTACACTTCACCCTATCGAAATGTATGGTATTTAGGTTCTGGGGTAAGGTTTAGAGGCATTTGAATTGAAGTTCCACTCAAAATTCTTCTCTACTTGACTCATCAAAAAAATAAAAAATATAAAATATAAAATCTTCTCTACTTGATATTGTTGCTTGCCTAAATCCCTTGTTAAAAAATGGGAAACCTTGAAAGACATTCTTGACTGGGAGCAGAACCTTTGCAGTTCTTTTGAGACCTTTAACAGCCACTTTGCTAAGGGCCTCTTTGGCGAGTATTGAACAATCTCAAATCTGACCTTGACAAACATGGTCGATTCGAATATGATGACACTGTGATGGCATTGGGCACAGAGAGAGAAAAAGTTGCCAAGAAAGAACTCTAGGAGCAAATGTACAGAAAAATAGAGTTGTAGAGATTACTAAAATGTTAGGGTATATTAACACTTCAACAAAACTTTTGAACTCTTCCCTTTGAACGCATTCGGCATTTAATAATGAGGTTTTTTACTTAAAATTCCAACCCTTTTAAATTGAAACTCAATCTTTTTAGATGGTATCAAACATAAATTAATTGGAGAATCGCTCAATTTGTTCAAACATAAATTAATTGGAGAGTCACTCTGTCGTGCATTTGTTAAGTTCGAAAAACTCAGCATACCATAAATGATGGAATATGCTCAACAAGCAAGCCATGAATCTAAATGCTTAGACAAACAACACAAAGAATGCAAATACAGACTCGAGATCAAAACAAAGTGATCTTAATTGTGAAACAACCATAATTTATGGATTAGAGCTTAGTGTCTTTACCTCTTTGAGTCAAAATATTATTGAAAAATAGATTGTAGATTGCCTAATGCTTCATTTCTGGTAATACTTAGTGTGTCTTTAATTCGAATGCATATCATTTGTCCCATTTACAAAAGGGGTTGAAAAAACTCACCATACCATTCGTGATATAATATGACAAGCAGGCCATGAAAATAAGGAAAACAAAAAGCAACACAAAGAATGCAAATACTTACTGGGAGTTAAAACAAAGGGATGTTAATTGTGCATAACCTAAGCCATCCGTATTCAAGGCGCAGTCATCTGAACTCAAGATGACCGGTTCCATGCTCTCCGAAATTTTCAGGGTGATGATGGTGACATATTGAACTTTACTACGAGACCTTAAATCGAACTCAGTCCTCGCCACACAAAATTCTCTATTTCCCAAATGAACAAGACATGAGGTGTATCTGTCTTCTGGAAACATTGGTGAATGCAGTCGGGTAATTATCCGTGGAGCACTGAGAGATTGAATGATACCACCGCGAGAAAATCTGACACTAAATGCAACCAACAGACAACAATCTACCAAAAAGAATACCGAATCATCAACACACGCAGCCGTTCCATCGAAGTAGTAATATGTCACCCCCTTTTCTTCCTTTTCGACGACCTGCCACTCCTCCATGGAACTCCCGACTTTGTAACAATGGAATTCAGTTGTGGTACTAGAAAATAAACTTACAACTGAAATGAGAATATTGTCACCGATGACTGCTCGACCCGAGACAAACATGCTTCCAATTTCCTCCGCACGGTACTCAGGTAGGATAGGAGAAGAATCCCAATAGCCTTTAGGATGATCCAAACGTTCAAACGAAGGGGATTTTGTGAGGATGCCGGAACACCTGGTATCTGAAGCAAGCACATAAAACCCTCTTCCATGCACTGCCATCACTCTCGGATAAGGTTTTTTTGCTTTTGGCATTGGCAACTCCATGAGCACTTTGGCATCTGTTTTGAAAACAAGGGGTTCGAACGGGATAAATTTGTGCATATCCAGTGGTCTATACGAAGCCATCAAGCATATCTCCGATCCTATCATATCACAATCAACCACTGTCTTACATCTTTCTTCAAAGCAAGTAAACAATTTACGCGGAGGATCGATGAATTTAGCTCCTCCGTCACCAATTTCGATTTCATAAATTGCACCACAATGTTCGCCATTATAAAAACACGCAACCAAAAACAATGATCTTACCATTGCCGCCGCCAACGGTGGTTTCTTCTCGGAAATTAGGGTTTTCTTGCCTTGAATCCTCTCTTTCGATCACAAAGGGGATTGTCTAATGGTGTCGACGTCGTCAGTCGCGTGCTCTTTAACTAGGTCTCAAACGACATTAATACCCTTTTGAATCTTTTGAAGTAACTATCTACCTATCGATCTTTTTAAATTTCTCAAAACTCCCACTACTTTTTAAATTTGATCATAAAACTCCAACTTGTTTTAAAAAATTCCTACACTTTTAAAAAGTGTGATCGCATTGCCCCAATATCCGAGTCCTACCCGTTAATCGGGCTGTGAAATGACAAATTTAACTTTACTATTTAATGTTAAATTAAAAATAAAATTTTATTTTTTAAAATTACAAAATTACCCATTGGTGGAAAGCTATCGTTTTATTATTTAAGTGCGTATTGTTGATGACGTGGCAAAAAAAATCTGAACATCCAATAGTATTGTGACAACACATCACTTATCACAATAACCACTTCACAGTATTGCCAAACATGGCTTAATTACACTAATAATTTTAGCACCAAACACGGCCTTACCCTCGCTCACTCGCTCTCCCTCTCATTCTCTCTCTAAGCTATCGTCCTCCCGTAACCGAGGATACTGTCGACCAATGGAAAACTCCGGCAGCCGATTTCGCCGACCGGTTAGGTCTTTAAGGAAGTTCACGATCTGTATGATGCTTGCCATAAATTTTATTGATGGTGTATGTTTCTGACTCATCAGAGACTTCACTGGTTTTGGTCCTGCAATTGTGTCATTGATGCTTAGAGCTTCTTGCCGGCAGTCATGGAGTTTAAGGTTGTGCTCTCATCAGTTTCGATGCAATTGCATCATTGATGCTTTAGAGTTTCTCCGGTGATCTCCATCATCGTCACCATGCTCACCCGGGTCAACTCAGTTCCCACCAAACTTAGTCTCAAACTCACCATACACAACCCTTAGCTGTGTGTTGGCCTCTGCAATGGTGAATTGGGGATTGTTGCAAAAAGGATCGCAAACGAACCCTAAAACCAGAGAACACTCATATAGATACCAACGAAGTATACAAATTAAAACACAATTACACCTCTGCAATGGTGGGGCAACTTGTGGAGACGGCGGTCAGCTTGATGGGTCGTCTTCTTCACAGTGATTCAACAAGGAAACAAAAAGTTGAGAAAGCGACTGAGTCAACGGCCATGTGAGATCGCAATAGTCTCGAACAGCCAAACCAAATCCCACCACCGCACTACCACCCCAATCGCCGGAACCGCCACCATCATTCCTACCTCACAACCCCCACCGGCGCCACCGTCACCATCCAACACCATTATAAACGCCTCCACCACCACCTCCTTCTACCCCTTTCATCGAAACCCTAATTTCCCACCTTCTTCATCACTGAGTACCTTCGTCGTTGCCACCATGTATCTATTTGGTCCTTCTTTTATCCCAATTTGATCCCAATTGCTTCAAATTCTGTTATTCCAATTATAAATTTGATGATGGTGGCACCAATTTGATGATGGTGGTTGCGGCTTCCTCGGAGTAGTGATGGTGGTGTTTATGGAGTGAAATGGTGGTCAGGGAAGTGAATGACTTGTTTTGTGCATGAAGGGTGAAATCGTCATTAAAAAACATAATTTTTAAGTTTTAATTTAATATTAAATGGCAAGGTCAAATTCGACATTTCACTACCTATTTAACGGGTCGACTCGAATATTGTGTTACATACTAACTAATGGGTAACGACACAAAAGCGAAACATTCAAATGGCGGGTACAAAAACCAGTTGATATTTATATCATTTTCTTTAAAATTAAGGACACAAAATGATCGAAGACTTAAATTACTTATAATAGAAGACGATGTATTCATAATTAGTTTAATAGTAATAGGAAAGGACCTTAGTTACATTTCAACTAAAGTAGCAGAAGCTTTAAAACATTGTTCCGGTTTCAAAAGGGGCAATCCCTTCACTACTTCAGAAAAAGCCGATGAAAAGGCTATTCCTATTATAAAAAGATACGTAGTGAAAAAGTTGAATGCATTTGCCTGCTCTAATCTTGTTATTATAATTAATGACATGATTACGTCATTTTCTACTCACATCAAACTTCCCCCTAATAAAGTAAAGGTTATTCATATGTGAATGCATGGAGAAGAAAGGGCAGAACACAACTGCTTACTAGTTACTATTGGCGTCTGATCGACTCTGATCACAGAGTTCGAAAGGCTCCAATTATCAGCAACAAACATTGAGATAGCACAAACAGAGAATGAGATTTGCCAGTTGTTAATCATTTTTTCTTCTTATAGGTTTCGTCAATTGGCCAATTGATGTATATATACTTTATTAGACACACACGTCCACAGGGTTACAAATGGTACAAAATTTCAATTTCTTCCAATTCTTTTATATGAATTCCAGTTTATTCCAAATAATTAAATGAAATTCCATTTTAATTAGAATCCAATTCCTTTTCCCATTCTAATTTTAAATTCCAAGAGTTTGTTTTGTTGGCGTAAATAAAATAGAAAGGAAAAGAAACATAAAATATTTAAATTTGTTAGTAATTTGGTTAGCGTGAAAGAGAAAATTTTCAAAAAATAATCCACAAGTCTCCGCTGAGACTCAAACCAAACATGAAAAGGTTGTTTTATCCACCATCTCATTCATCCCTCCTCAATCACTCCCTCCAACTAAACATTGCATTAGTGTTCGTCTGATTTTTTCTCTATGTATTCAAGTTTTGAAATTGCAATTTAATTCATACATGCACTTTTTTACACATGAACTTCTGGCGACTTTAGGACTCTAGGCTATTTTAGTTCTAACTCTAGGTGTATTAGAATTTAGAAGTACCAAACTAATTTTGGTTCTAATAACTTTATTTGGTTTAGGCTGAACAACATTTTTTTTTTCTTTTATTCTTTTTCTATGACTATATATATATATAGATATATATTAACATCTACCTTTTATTGTCAAGATTTTCCAAAACAAAATTTTTTATTAATTAAACTTGCACCTATAATAACATATATCCAATTATTAAACATAAAAAAGACAAATAGTATAATGTTCATTGTTTCATCCATAAACTTTAAATTTTACTTTTGTTAATAATTCAGGAGACATGTTGAGTACAAAGTAAGTTATAATTAAAAAGGGCAATTTTGAAAGTTAATATCAATTTCTTTTCACTTTCATGCTTTTCAAACTCGCAAAATAATATTTTTCCACAATTTTCTTGAAAATTTTCTTACTAACCAAATGTACGATGAAAACTTGATTTTCTTTTCCTTCCTTTCACTTTCACTTTCCATTAAAAAAACATGTCTACCCAAACCAACCGCAAAAGATTTGATTCGAAACAAAGTGTCAATTAACTTAATCCACAACATATGTACCTATTTATAGAGTTACAAACACTATTCCTTGTTGGACAAGGATTACAATTTCTTGGAGGCCAAGACTTTCCAAATAAGAAATTACCTAATAGAATACAACTCTAAAATAGAATCCTAATTAGAATAAGAATTTGAGACACTCCACCAATCTCCACCTTAGCTTAAATTCCATCCAGCTACTACTTTCGCCACCTCCACATGCCCCTAAGTGCCTCAGCAACTACAGGTACCAATCAAGTCCAGACAGTGTCTGAACTTAAGTGTACTAATGACCTTAGTCATCATATCTGCCGGATTCTCTGTTGTCCCAATCTTCCTCACTGCAATAGCACCCTGTGCAACCACATCTCAATGAAGTGAAACCTGACATCAATGTGTTTGGTCCTCTCATGAAATATTTGATTTTTAATCAAATGTATGGCACTCTGGCTTCCGCAAAATACAATCAAATTATCCTGCTGCAAGTCCAAATCACCAACCAAGCCTCTCAACCATATAGTTTCCTTCACTGCCTCTGTATCTATTATGTACTCAGCCTCAGTAGTAGGCAATGCAACTATGGGCTGCAAAGTTGCCTTCCAACTAATCACACTCCCACAAAGAGTGAAAACATACCCTGTCAAGGACCCCTCCAATCAAGATCTCCAACATAATCCGAATTAACGTATCCAGCAACACTCCCACACGAGCTGCTGCCTCTGTCATCTAACAACATCTGCAGTGCCTCGCAATTATCGTAATATCCACTTCACAACCTGCCAATGGACCTTCCCAGGTCTATCCATGTATCTCTTCACTACATTAACTGTATGTGAAATGTCTCGCCTAGTATACACTATAGCATACATAAGGCTACCAATTGCACTGACATAAGAAATATGAGACATGTGCTCCACTTTCTCATCGGTCTGTGGTGACAATCGTGTTGAAAGTCTAAAGTGGGCAGCCAATGGAATATTCACAGGTTTTGATGCCTGCATACCAAAGCGTTCCAGCACTTTCTCAATGTATTTCTTCTGTGACAAATATAATCTACCCGCTCCTCTGTCCCTGTGAATTTCCATTCCTAATATCCTCTTTGTAGCACCAAGATCCTTCATCTCAATTTCACCACTAAGCTGAGCCTTCAACATATTGATTTCAGACATGTTTTTGCAAGCTATAAACATGTCATCAACATACAACAACTAGTACAAATACCAACCATCTGAAAGCTTCATGTGATGCACACAACTATCAAACTTACTCCTACAGTAGACATTCCTAAATATAAAGGTTTCAAAATGCTTATACCACCGTCTAGAAGACTGTTTTAGCCCATAAAAGGACTTTTTCAGTAGGCAAACATGATATTCATTCCCCAAAATCTCAAACCTCTCAAGCTGATGCATATAAATCTGCTCTTCCAACTGACAACGTAAGAAAATAGTCTTAACATCAAGTTGTTTAACCTCCCAGTCATACAGAGCAACAATAGTAAGTAACACTCGGATTGAGCTATGTTTCACCACAGGAGAAAACACTTCATTGAAGTCCACCCCTTGCCTCTGTGTAAAACCCTTCGCCACCAAGCGTGCCTTGTACCTCGCACATTCTACACTTGGAATTCCTTCCTTCTTCTTGAAAACCCATTTATAGCCCCACAATCTTTTGGCCCTTAGGCTTTTTAACTAGCTCCCAAGTATGGTTCTTATAAAGAGACTCAGTCTCCTTATTTATGGCGACAGACCACTGTGCTGACTATCCACCTATGATGGCCTCATGATAAGTACATGGCTCATCAATATCCTCTGTCACACTAAGTGCATATGCAACCGAATCAGCATGTGAAAACCCATACTTCTTAGGTGGCCTAATATCCCTCCTAGGCCTGCCTCTAGCCACACTATACTGCTAGAAATATGCATCTTTCACAGCCCGAAACTACACCTGCTTATGAGTTGACCGAATAAGACTATCCTCTAATTGAACCTCTACATGCTTCACTGCTCACTAACACCTTGAGCTTTCCCTGAAGCAACTACCTCATTCTGCTGATTAAGCATCGCAGACTCATAAAAGGTCACATCCCTGCTAAAAAGTATCTTCTTTCCCGAAGCCTCAGGGCCGCATTATAATCTGTATCCCTTGACCCCAAGCTGATAACAAAGAAATATGCATTTCTGATCCTTCGGTTCCAGCTTCCCCTCATTCACATGAACATACGCTGGACACCCAAATATTCTCAGATTACTGTAATTAGCAGGAGAACCAGACCATACCACTTCTGGAGTCTTACAGTTGATAACAATCGATAGAGACCGGTTCATTAAGTAACTAACTATAGAAACAGTTTCAACCCAAAACGCTTTGTCTAACCTTGCATTCGACAACATACACCGTGCCCACTCTAATAGTGTTCTGTTCATCCGTTCTGCAATTTCATTCTACTACGGAGTCTTCCACACTGTGTAGTGTCTCACAATCCCGTGAGTCTTGCAGAACTCATTAAATTTTCCATCACAAAATTCCAAGCCATTGTCTATCCTCAAGCGTTTAACCTGTTTTCCTGTCTGCTTCTCAATCAAGATCTTCCACTGCTTGAATGTAACAAAAGCCTCATTCTTGTGTTTCAGAATATAAACCCAAACTTTCCAAGAAAAACCATCAATCAGCGTCATCACATATCTACCACCACTATGTGAAGTAACTTGAGAGGGACCCCAAAAATCAAAATGAATACAATCCACCATACCTTGGGTCTTATAAATTCCTGTACTGAACTTCACTTTGCACTACTTCCCAAAGACACAATGCTCACAGAAATCCGGCTTCCCAATTTTCTAACCAGTAAGCAAACCTTACTTCCTCAGAACAATTATCCCCTTCTCACTCATTTGCCCAAGCCGCATATGCCACAATCTGGTAGTATTTGAATCCGGATCTAAGGACGACACGACAACTGAACCGCGATTCTGCTACCCTGCAGAGCATATAAACCATGCTTCATTAGTCCCTTCATCACCACAAGAGCACCCTTGGAAACCCAAAGGACTCCATCTCCAGCCTTATAAGTGCACCCGATGGAATCTAACATACCCAGGGAAATCAAATTCTTTCTCAGTTCTGGTACATGCCTGACATCAGTCAGAGTTCTCACTATGCCATCATACATCTTGATTCGAACTGTACCGATACCTACAACCTTGCATACCGTATCATTCCCCATCAGAACTTCCCCTCCATCAATAGGTTAATAAAATGTAAACCAATCCCTATTTGGACAAGCATGAAACAAGCAACCCGAATCAAGAATCCACTCGTCGCAAGAGCTGCCGACAGAAATTGTGGAACATTACCACCATTTGAATCATTACCTTCTGTAACAACCACACTTTTAATTTCAGAAGATTTTACCATTCCATTCTTACGCTATGGACAATCCTTTTTGAAGTGCCCTTCCTTGTGACAAATGAAGCATCGCAACACTTTCGTTTTATTCTTAGACTTAGAACGACCTTTGCCGCCAGACCCTCCCTTCTAATTCGCTCTTCCTCTAACAAATAACCCTTCTGCCGAACTTTCTGTATTGCCCTAAAACGCCCTTTTCTACAACTCCTTAGAATTCAGAGCTGCCTTCACGTCTTCCATGGACAAGGCAGTTTTACCATACATCATTATATCGACAAATTTCTTATACGAGGGTGGTAGAGAACACAACAAAATAATAACTCGATCTTCATTCTCTATCTTGACATTAAATATTATTCAAATCCATGATGATACTATTTACCTCATCAAGATGGTAAGACGACCCTTCGTGCATCTGAAGAGTGAACAACCGCTTCTTTAGATAAAAGCAATTCAACTTCTGTTACTACCCATCCGCCGTAGTCTCTCCAGTAACTTCTCGCAGAACCTCGTTATTCTAGTACAACAAAATCGTACTGTGTGCTTTCTCCATAACCTCATCTTTGTGTTTGATCTTTTTTGGCAATGCATCCTTTCCCTTCAGCGCCTTGGATAACCCTTGTTGAACCAACAAAGCTTGCATCCTAACCCGCCATAGGTTGAAATCGTTTCTGCTGTTAAACTTCTCTTCTCTAAAAACTTGGACGACATCCCCACTCCGAACCGGAAGCAAGTTGAATCAAGAATCACGACAGAAAAGTAAACACACCATATAAAGATTTGTACGTCGTTCGGCAACAGCCTACGTCCACGGTCAGGATCCGACGAAAGTTTTTACTGGGTAAAATCGGAAATTACAAGATTTCAACCCCCCACTTTGTTTCTGTACAAATTCCAGAGTCTTTCTCCCTTAATCTTTTAATTCTTAACCCACAACATATGTACCTATTTATAGAGTTACAAACATAATTCTTTGTTGAACAAGGATTACAATCCTTAGAGGCCAAGACTTGCCAAATAAGAAATTACCTAATAGAATACAATTCTAAAATAGAATCCTAATTAGAATAAGAATTTGAGACACAATTTCCAACACCGTGCAAACTCACCACTGCCGGAATTGCGAACTTCTTCTCTTCATCACTACCAATTTGATTTTCTCACTGGACTTACAGGGATAGTAATGAATCAACAAATTTTCAAAGATTCGGACGTGAATTGAACGATTTTGGTGAGCGGTCAATCTCCTCACTTGTGATCTTCCCCAATTTCATCGCTAAAACAAGTGTTTTGCCAAAGAACGATGATGCCCTAACCGATTTAGGATGGTTAAACTTAAATTGCTGTGAAATTTGATGATTGTGACACATTTCAATCTCCTCACCCGAGTCCGTTGTTGCAATCTTCAAGTTCAATGATATTACATCACTCCGACGAGTAAGAGCGGGACGAAGAGAACATATCAATGTCTACTTACTCCACTTAACAATTATAGTTATTTTATTTTATTTTAAAATTTTTAAATTTTTTCTCATTTTCATGTCATTGCACGACTCTTTGAAATTCAATTTCACTCATTGTATAACCAGACCTATCATTAAACGGAGCATATATATGGTTGAGACAAAAAAAGGTTTAGAATATTTATTAATTTATTTGCTTATGACTTTTATCATTGATCCTACTAGTTAGTAGTTAGGTGTTATAAGTTGAATTTTTCCTAACATCCGATCCAAAAAGAAAAATGTATGAATATAAATGGGTTGGTATACAATACTACCTAATAGCTTAAGTTTTTGAGTAAATGAGTAAGCACCCACCCGTTACAATTTGTTTCGATACCAGACTCAATCCTTGATCCGATACCATGCCAAGCGCTCGGGTAGGCAGGGTGACCCAACCGCGTAAGTTCGGGTGTGGGAGTAAATAACAAGTGAAAACTTGTTCCACATTGAATCCGAATGGAAAAATGTACGAATATAAATGGAAGAGTTACCACCGAATTACGATCCTTGGTAGTATATTTACCAATGTGATAACATTTCAAAATATTACACTAGTTACCTTTTACAAAAATATTGTCAATCCACAACTTTAATACTATTTCAGTTGATTTTTTAAAATCTTATTATTATTTAAATTTGTCTCCACTTAAACAAATTTTTGGGCCCGACAAATGCAACTGAAAAATGATAGCATTCATACTGTAAAATATATGGTACTCGGGTTTTGGGTATGGTTTAGCAATCATATCGAAATGTTTGGTATTTAAGTTTTGGGGTACTACAAAAGGCTTGACATTAATGTCGAAATCCTTCGTTGACAGCGTCGGCGTAGGGAAAACTATTATGAAATGCCGACCCTCAAAGGAGAGCAGTGTAATAAATGAAAACATAGGAAAACACTGTAATAATGGAATACGTTAGGAAAAGTCCCCTCTAATTATCCCCTTTAAAAAAATGATCATGTAAATGTCAAATGAATCTCTAAGAGTCTTGTACTAAACCTTTAAACACTTCATTCCTTTCCCCTGGTCCCAAAATGGCAGTTCAAAGTACGAAATCGTTTATCATGTTATAAAACAGGCCTGCTGAGTTTTCAGATGTTAGTCCAAAACATTGACACCTCGACCAAAACAAGCAAACCTAGTCAACTCGAAGTGTCCTTTTTTTTTTTTTTGATGAGTAAATAAGATTTAATAAAAAGTGTTCAACGCATCCCAGATACAATAAAAAGCAGGGACCTAAGGCCCCAAGGAATCCAGAAAATCAATAGTCTCCGTTGGGGAGTAACAATAACAACCCGAACCCCAAAAAGAAAGGGAATTAATAACAGAAGATTTGGGAGCAGCACCCGAAGATTCCTGTCCCTTGAAAGCTCTTTTATTGCGCTCCCTCCACAAACACCACCAGAGGCACAAAGGAGCCATCCTCCGCTGCCCTCTAGTTTGTGTCCTTTGACTTCAATGCCAAAAGTATCGTCTCTCTTGGTCCCTGAAACAGTCAAGGTGATCAAAAGTGAATATAAAATGAGCAAGATACCAAAATTTGCGAGGGCAGGAGTCAAGTCTTTTACAGATATTAACAAAAAAATAAAATTTAAAATGAAAAGAAAAAAAGAAGAAGAGCATTTCCTAAAACACAAACCATCAATCTAAATGCTCCACACATGTTGATCTTCATCTAAACATACTTCATTATAATGTTATTGGAGTGATGTATGTAGGTGAAGAAAGGTTCTGACACCACATGTAGTAGGGGAATGCTATGATGTAGAACCAGGAGAGAGGAGGAGAAGAGATATATTTAAATAACTTCATCAAATTTATCTATTTTTGCTCCTTCACAAGTAGAGGCCAATCACATACGGCTCATCCATCCGAGTCACATCTCTTTCTTTTCAAAGAGTACCTCCAAAACCCCTAAGAGTTGAAAACTGGATTTGTATTTACCATGAGGCAGAAACTCAGAACTCACATCACGTATAATTTTTACCGTCTGGTTAGAAGAGTAATTAGGTTTTAAATATTGCAAATAATTACAAACATATCATGACTCAAAAAGAACATTTCAATGACCGATGCTGCATCAACCAGGAGCTGCAATCATGTATAATTTTGTACCCAATTGACCTGGTTGGAGGAAAAAGCTGTTACTATTTTTTTTTGATAAGTAAAAGTTGTTACCATTTTGAAAAAAGGAAAAACAAGTGATAAACAAAAAACTGAAAAAAAAGGGTGCAGGGCTAAACAAAGAATGCTATGGTGAAATGAAAAAACTAGTAAAGAATGGCGTATGTAAAGCTTATAGGTACTACCAGTGGATGCCATTTTCGACACAAGTCAACACACATGGTTTCGTCACGCACATGGAAGTTTAAACTAATTATAAGAAGCCATGAGGTTTTATATTCCTACTGGAAAGCTAGAGGACCTTAAGGTTAACATAGAGAGGAAAGAGAGTGAAAAAGAGGCTCTATACAGAACACAATAGAAAAATATTTTAGCTCACAATAGACATATAGCTCTTAGGGTTAGCAACATTTCACTTTCTGTGTAGAGGGGTGTAGCGAGAAGCGGCCGAAGTGTGTATTAGGGTATATCTTATCTCATTACTTAAAAAGAACAATCCAACGGTCGAGATCAACTATGTATAGTGTGGCGACCTTGTGGCCAAGTACGAGACACTGGCAGGCAATCACACTGGGCAAGAATGGTGAAGTGCTTGTATGTGATGGTGTTATCTACAATTATTTTGAGACCTTTGGGGGTAAAACCCAAGAACAAAACCGTGCATGCTCAAGCCCAAAGCAGACAATCTCATACCATATGCAGGAGTGGGTGGTTACAAATAGCTTATGGGCTAACGCCTAATAGGCTATTGAGGTAATGGGTCTGTAAAGATTAAATAACTGATTGAGGGCCTATGGAACAAGCGTGAATTGGGCTAATGTTGTACATGTGGGTTAAAATTTTAAATATAGTGGGCTTTTAAGTAAACGAGTTTGTTCACGAGCCTAATGAGCCAAGCTTGGAGAACTGGGATGCTTAATCAACGATCGTTTGTTTACTTAACAGACGATCCCGAGCCGAGCTTTTAATGAGCGCGAGCTGTACGTGTCATTTGCAGCCCCACACTTTTTTTATAGGAAAAAGCTTGTCACAGGCCGCATGAGTGGGAATCGCCTTCCGATGTTGATACGAACCCATGACATGAAACGTGTCAAAAAAATTTGCCTAAATGATTTGGATCTTTTTCAGGGTCATCTAAAGGAAAGAGCATTGTTTCCTCTAAGAATTGTTTTTTTCTTTTCTCATGCATCTGTGACAAACCTAGTAGCGCTCTCTCACTCCTCCAAGTCAGGCTTCCTTCTCTCTTCCACCAAATTGCCATTGATGCTCATGAACTCCTCAATTCTGAAACCCTTATATCTCGGGCCACTGGCAATGTAAAAGAAGGGAAGCTATTACTCTCTCTCTGTTAGAAGCGATTTTCAGCAATCAAGGTTTCCTGAGGATTGCTACTTATCAAAAAAAAAAAAAAAAGGTTTCCTAAGGATTGCTACTACTAACATGGATTAGGGTTTATGGGAGGATCATTCCTTTGAAGTAGTAAATCTACCACTTCTCCTCCTCAACGGCGAGGTTGAATGCTTCCCAACTGAAGATGGTAGGACCTTTAGGGTCGATCATCAAAGTACGCAATGCCGAGAATCAATTCTTAAATCCTGCCTTGTTGGACGCTTCGATAGAGATGTGGGAAGCATCTAGTCAATCAAGACGCGGGCGACGCAGAATTGGAAGATCGTGTGCAGGGTAACGGTTTCAACAATGCCTGATCATCTTCTCCTGTTCAGATTACCATCCGAGAAAGAGGCACGAAGAGTCCTTATTTCTGGCAAGAAGACATGGGGCGCTACTACTTGGCAATTAATGTTTGGTATTTTACCGTCGGTTACTCGGCAGTGAGAACAAGGGGAAGGGGAAGACGAGTGGTGATGTACGGATTGCCCCTTCATCTTCGCTATCAGAGGTTGTTCGAAGCATTTGTGCGGTAATTTTAGAGACGTGGAGGTGGATGATATGGTGGTAGGGAAGAGAATTTTTTTTTTTTGATAAGTAATAAGTAATAATATATTAAAAGGCATTCAAAAGGGGGAACGCGTCCCGGATACAAAACGAAAGAAAGACCTAAGGACCCATGGAGTCCAATAGATCAACAACGTCTATGGAGGTGTAGAGAATTACTCTTTATGTTTCCGATGAAGGTGTGATCCCAGAGTTCACCATCCATTCTTCCGAAAGCCTCCATCGATTCATTTGGTAGATCCACACCACATCGTTGTCTTTCCGCACATCCTCAAGGACAGAGACGCATGAGGTTCAACGCGCCGTTTGCCTTACCATGTCGCAGACCACGTGATCACTCAGATGAACATTCAAATGTTATGAAAAGTACCAACATTGGGCCTGGGCTGAAGCATGGGTCGCATAGGCCCATTAACCAAGGGCCTATGTCCTGGTCTGGCCCTAGTGTCTCTCAAGGGATTAAGAGGAAGGTCCAGAGGGTCGCTGGGCCTTAATAATCGTCTGTCCATATCCTTATTATTTACCAAGCCTAGCCCAAATGTTTTGTCAAGGTCCAGTGGAGGAAGCTCGGCCTAAGTTCATGCCCATCCTTTATCAAAGTGTAACTCTTCCATCCTTCATCCATTTGTACACAGATATTGGTTAATAACGGAGAAGACGAGATGGAAACAGATCAATGTAGGCAAGGGAGGTTCAAGCAAGAAAAACATTACTTCTCGACACGATTTGTGTTGTTGTAACACAAACACAACAGGGCCTCTGCCCCTGATTCATCGGATAGTAGAAGCTTCAAGGGAGAAAGGTTGCAGGGAATATGCAGGACACAAAAGGGGTTAGAAGTAGGAGACCTTTAACATCTTGGAAAGGGGAGCAGGAGGTCAAGAATCTCATCTCCGATGTCAACTATGAAAGGAAGAATGGGGTGGCGAGGGAAAGGGGAAGGACCAGAAGTGGGAAAAGGAGAGGAGGGGAGATAATTGTTTATGGTTCTTAATGAAGCTACGAATCATCACTTGGAACGTTCGTGGTCTTAATCATCCGGACAAAAGGAGGGGGGTCAAGGTAGTTGTGAGGAAGTGAAGTGCCTATGTTATTTGTTTTCAAGAAACCAAGATGGCCTCCATTTCTGACGGGGTGGTTAGGAGTCTTTGGACAATGGGAAGTGCTGATGCTTCAGGTACCTCTGGCAGAATCCTAATTATGTGGGATCGCAAATGGCTGTCAAGGATGAACATATGGAAAGGGAGTTACTCTTTGTCTTGCGTGTTCAAGATGGAGGAGGACATTTTCAGATGGGTATTTTCTGGGGTCTACGGGCCAGTTATCGATAGTGAAAGACCTTCCTTTTGGGAGGGGCGGCCTTTACTGTTTGATTTGCCAATGGATGGGGCAGCCTTTACTTGGTCTAATGACAGGGACCCGGTTACTTTATCAAGGCTAGACAGATTCCTGATTTCTAGGGAGTGGGAAGAGAAATTCCCGGATGTTGTTCAGGTGGCTCTTGTAGGAGTGACATCTGATCATGTTCCCTTAGTTCTAGATTGCGGGGGTTTGAGATCTCGACGCACCCCATTCCGCTTTGAGAATATGTGGTTGAGATCAGAGGATTTCCAATGGAAAATCCAATCTTGGTGGGAGGAGGCATTGGCCACAGGTTCCTTTAGTTTTGTATTAGCCAGGAAGCTTCAGACCGTCAAAACTAAGCTTAAGAGGTGGAACAAGGAGGTGTTTGGGAATATTAAATGGAGGAAGAATAGAGTTATTGCTGACTTCGCTGAGATCGATCGTCTTGAAGAATTGGGACAGGATGTGGAGTCTCTTTGTGCTCTATGAGAGCTTCATGTCAGGCGATTTTTGCTGAGATCGTTATTATGGAGGAGATTTCATGGCGCCAGAAATCTCAGACTTTATGGTTTAAAGAAAGAGACCGGTTGGGGATAGTTTCTTTGCGAGTTCTCGAGGTTTGAGACAAGGAGACCCCTTGTCGTCTTTCTTTTTCCTTATCGTATGGAGGGTTTGAGCAGACTAATGACGAGAGCGGAGGCTTTGGGTTTTATCAGGGGCTTCAGAGTGGGCAGATATGTAGCTCATCAGATGGAGATCTCCCTTTTGCTGTTTGCGTATAATACCTTGGTTTTTTGTGATGCCGATGTCTCCCAACTTAGATATTTGAGGTGCATTCTTGTTTGTTTCCAGGTAGTTTCAGGGCTGAAGATTAATGTTGGAAAGAGTGTGCTTGTCCCGGTTGGGGATGTTTCGGATATTTCCTCCTTAGCTGCAGTTCTTGGGTGTGGGGTGGGTGTTTTTCCTCTTCCTTATTTGGGACTACCTTTGGGGGTCTCCTCTAGGAGGGTGGGGAGCTGGGATCCGGTAATTAATACGTTTTAGAAGAGGTTGGCAGGATGGAAGAAGCAATATCTGTTGAGGGGGGGAAGGTCACTCTTTTTAAGAGCACTCTCTCGTCCCTTCCCATTTACTTTTTATCTTTGTTTCAAATCCCATGCTCCGTCGCCGAAAGGAATGAGAAGATTCAAAGGGACTTTCTTTGGGGTGGAAGGGGAGAGGAGTTCAAGTATCTTGCTAAATGGGAGCAAGTTTGCAAGCCCTTAAAGCTAGGCGCTCCAACCTTTTCCTTTTTTTTTCGGATAAGTAAATTGTATTAAAAGGCGTTCAAAAGGGGAACGCATCCCGATAACAGAACAAGAACCAAAAGAAAACAAAAAGCAATTAAAACCAAGGAAAGAAGAAACCTATGGACCTAAGGATCCCAAAAAATCCATGATCTCCTCTGTAGAAGAACAATCTCTTCCCATACCCCAACAAAAAGGAGAACAAATGATGGAGTACTTTAAAACCCCAATGGGTAATTCCTCCCCAACAAAAGATCTTCTATTACGCTCTTTCCACAGACCCCACCAAATACAAAAAAGTGTCACCCTCCAGAAATCGCGAACACGAGTTCCCACCCTTTGCCCCCTCCAAACATCAATAAGAACCCGTGTGGTCCAAGGCATAACCCATTGAATGCTGAAAAGACCCAACATAAGCCTCCAACAATCATGAGCAACTGGGCAGTGCAACAGAAGGTGATTCATAGACTCCCCATCGGTCATAGAAAGGCAACACCGATTAACAATAATATGTCTTCTCTTACTTAAATTGTCCACAGTCAAGATCTTACCCCAAACAGCAGTCCAAACAAAGAAAGCCACCTTAAGAGGAGCCTTCGAATGCTAAACCGTTTTCCACGGGTAAGAGGAGGCTTGAAAATCGAATTTACAAAAAAAAGAAGACCGGACCTGAAAAATCTCCTGTGAAAAAGGCACCTAAGTCAAGATATCCGCCCCAGTACCATCCACCTTCTGTCGGTACAAAAGATCCAACAATTCAAAAACATCATCCAGCTCCCAATCCTGAAAAGCTAGCCGGAACTGAACAACCCAAGAAAGCCTACCGCTATCAAGGTGATAGCAGTCAGCAACCATAGCATGACAATCCACAGCAATACTAAACAATCTAGGAAACCGTCTGCACAATGGACGATTCTCACACCAGGGATCCGCACAAAACCGAACATTTCGATCTTCCCGAACTCTAAATCTAATATGTTTGGAGAACTCATCCCACCCCTTCCCAATGGAATGCCACACACCCACACCAACAACAATTCTAACCGGTCTAGTAGACCATCCCCTTCTCTCCTCCCCAAACCGACAAGCAAAAAGCTTCCTCCATAATCTATGTCTTTCACTACCAAACCTCCAAAGCCACTTGCCAAGAAGAGCCCTGTTGAAAGGTGCCAGTCTCCAAATTCCAAGACCTCCCGACTTAATGGGCCTCCAAACTTGCCACCTAACAAGATGATACTTTAACTCCTCTTCCCTACCACCCCAAAGGAAATTACGTTGAATCATCTCAAGTCTCCTAACAACGGAAGATGGAATCTGGAACAAGGAAAACAAGGAAAGAAAATAAGTTGGAAGACTGGACAGAACACTCTTAACCAACGTGACCTTTCCTCCTTTTGAGAGATATTGTTTTTTCCACCCAGCCAACCTTTTCTCGAAACGCTCAATAACCAGATCCCAACTACCCGCCCTTCTAGAGGAAACACCCAAAGGCAATCCCAAATAAGAAATAGGGAAAGAGCTCGTCCTACATCCAAGAACAGCTGCGAGAGAATCCACCTCCTGAACCTCCCCCACAGGAACAAACATACTCTTGCCCACATTAATTCTCAAACTAGAGACAACCTGAAAACACACCAGAACACATCTCAAGTATCTCAATTGATCAGAGTGATTGGCGGTGGTTGTGGTTCGCTTGAATTTTACGTAACTTGGAGATAGAAAGAGAGCACACGGATCCGTGAGATAAAACCTCGGACGTGAGAAAAAACCCGTAATCTGATTCATATTTATTTTTGGCACGTGTCAAGTTGTTAGTGGTCCATGTCAGCACAAGGAAAAGATTCCTGCTTATGCGGCCTGAGGCAAGCATTATTCTTCTTTATATTGCACCTAAATTGATCCCCTTACAATCTACTTATCAAAGGAGACATGAACAATGCATTTCTCTCAACAACTCTGTAATTCATATATTGAACATTCTTCCCTTTAATTAACTAACTATAAGTTTTTCACTTTAAGATAGAAATAGAGAGAGAAGCTGGGAATTCAAAAATAAATAACAAGCAAGGTGGAAGCATCCCTAGATAAGTAGTGAGATTTTTTAATTACAAAAACATTAAAGATGATAGGAAATTATGACATTTCACAGGAAAATTTAATGTCTTTCCGACACCAACTTTTGGTAAGGGGAGTTTCTGTAGGTTTTTTTCACACATTTAATATACCTGTAATTAAGGATTACCTCAGGGATGTCGGTGTAATTATATCATTATATCTCCCAGTACCATATCATTTTTTTTTTTTCTAGACGTATGAAAATCATACGTAAGTCTTTTCCTTTACTCCAACAATGTTTAACTATTGTCTTACTAAGTAAATCACCTCCATTGTGGATATTTCTAGCATAATACCCAAATTAGTTATCAGATACAATAGATTCATTTCTTAATTTAATTCAAAAGCCCCTTTTCCATATTTTCGTTGCATGACTTGTTAATTTATTGCTACAAGTATTTTTGGAACATAAAATTTAAAAATTTGACTGACCTAGTTGATTGACGGGAAGAAGGGTGGTTAGGGTGATTTTGTAAAGCCTCAAGGAAGGTTGACCACAATTTTCCAACTAGTTTCATCTGAAGGAAATTTCAAAATATCACTAAGGATACTTTACCCTAAATTCTATTTCTGAAAGTCCTCAATAAGCCAAAGAATAAAGTTTCTAAAGGTGCAATGGTAAATTAAGAAACACTACTAGAGTAGGCTGAGTCTAGTTGAGTTTACCTTCGGTAACCCTTTCTTCTTGAGATCCTCGTCAGTCATGCTTGCAAGACGTGGCATATCAATCTGCAGAAAAAGCAGGAGACATCAAACCAGTGATAGAATTTCTGAGGGTAAGAACCAAAGCAAGTACATAAAATTGCTGTAAACAAAGGAAAGCCATAAAATTCACACACGTCCTCATCTTCGAATATAAATGAATAGCCTCGAAGACCCAGCGGCTTCAGGAATTCCCACACCGATTTAGCCTGCACCAAATATGTATCACCTGTGAGTACCAAAAAACACATTATACTATGTATTTGGTCCCCAATCCCTATTATTTCTATTATTTTTTTTTATTTTAAAAAAAAGTCTACAGCTAAGCTGATGTTTAAGATAATTTGGGAGCAGAATCTGCAGCTTCACCAAGGATAAATATATCCCTCCAGGGTGAATAACCAACATAAGTTTAGCCAATTGTTAGGAGAATTGGTGATAAATTAAACTATTTCCAGTGAGACATAAGTTTTATTTTAAAGAAATAGAGTGATCGTCTAACCACATGGTCAACATATAATAACTATAAAAAACAAGTCAACTCTTGAATAATTTCCGAACGGATTGAAAGAAGGGAGTCAAAAAAAGATATTTAATATGCATTGCACCAAAAGTACCAAGGACTGAAACCTAGTAGTACCTCCTCTACCTCCCAAAGTGGAAGGTGAGGGTTCAAGTTCCCATAGGGGCAAATGGGTGTGAGTTTTTTGTTAAGTAATAAATTGCACCAAAAGTGAAAATAAAAATTACTAAACCCATAAACTTGAGCGGCATTTCTTACCCCTCCCAAAAGGGGAACGTGAAGGTCCCAATTTCGTTGTCACATTTACGTCGATCTTACCCAGAAGAGAGAAAGAACAAGCACCACCTCCACAACCAAGCCTTTTAAGGCCATAGTTCCAGTCAATCGACCAGCTATGATATCTTTCTTTACTAGCTATATCCCCGTTAACTTTGGTCTATGTCACCTTTGCTAAACAATGCATTTACTTTGCACGTCACCAAACCATCGTAACCAATTTTCTCTCATTTCATCCCCCAATTGGTGCTACTCCAACCATCTCCCGAATGTGATCATTTCTAATTCTGTCCTTTCTATTCTTGCTGCACACACATATGTCTCAACATTCGCATTTCTGCCACACCCACTTCATGCAAAATGTTGTTTCCTAACTGCCCAACATTCAGTACCATAGAGTATGGCTAGTCTAATAGCTGTTCGATATAACTCTCCTTCCAATCATAAAGGGATACACTTATAACATAATATACTAGATGTACTCATCCATTTAATTTATCATTTTATTTCTAATGATTAAGGTGATCTCCAATTTCTCTCCCATTATGAATCACTGATCCTAAGTAATGAAACGCCATAGAAATTTAGGAAAAAAAAAAAACACCAAAGCAAAATTAAAACTTCATTCTTTGTCACAGTGATAAATGCAACCACAGAAGTAATATTTTGAAATTTGGAGAACAATTAGATCAGGGCAATTTCCTTATTTCTTTTCCCAGAAACAGAGGTTGAGCTGCCGACTCTCTTTATAGCAGGTTGACTGCCCTCAGGTACCGACTCCAGCTTTGGTGGATCAATGTTCATTGGCTGCAAAGGCGTGTAGATACAGCAATGCATAAGGCACTCAGAATGGTCCTTAAGACCTGAAATAAAACCTTTCCACTTTTGAGTTCTCTGCTTAAAAATCCTTCATTAAAGCCCCAAAGTAAAACATATCTAAGACAAACTATACAAGCCATTGACATTCAATCAAAATATTATGTACAAAAGCTGCTATATATTATTATTTTTATTTATAATTACTAGACACACACACCCACACCAACACATATATATATACATATATAAGTCAAATAAAAGTAAAACTGCAGCCTTTAGATGAATGCAACTGTATCTCGAACAATTCATACCTGTCCGGCATTCAGACTTGTAGTCATATTGACTCCGCCTGAAAAACAAATCACATTGAAACAAATCATATTTGGAAATTTGATAATAAAATTAAATTTCTTTGAATGCAAATATCACTGCAATTACACGGCCTAAGAAGCATTCATCGGCTAAAGGGTTTCCAGTTGCATATCTTCATAACAATTTCTTTAACTTTATTTCGTGTTCTTTTACTTCATCTTCATACCCCTCGACAGCAATATATTTACCGATAAAGACATATATAATATTGTCACTTTCCCTGTTTCTTATTTTGCATTGCAATTACACACAATCTGAATGCAAAACATTTCCATTGATACTAGATAATATAAATATAGATTCCTCTCAACAAGTTATGCAAACTTCTAATTTTTGTCAAGCTGGTTACTGCAATGTGGTTGATGAATTAGGTGCTCAAATCATTTATTGGTCGACTTGTAATTGTTTATCTCAACGATATTTTGGTTTATGGTCAAACAGAGGCAGAACACCTTTTGCACTTGAGAGAGGTATTAACAGCTTTGCAGAAGAATAAAATCGTCATTAATCTGAAGAAGTGTAGCTTTGTGATCCTAAGCCTAGTATTCGTCGGCTATGTGGTTTGTAGTGATGGCATTCAGGCAGATGAGGAGAAGGTGAGGGCCATTCGGGAGTGGTCTACGCCGAAAAATGTGGGAGAAGTATGCAGTTTCCATGGCTTAGCCACGTTCTACTGAAGGTTCATCAAGAACTTCAGTAGTATTGTGGCTCCCATCACAGAATGCATGAAGAAAGGAAAATTCCAATGAGAAGAGGAAGTTGAGATAAGTTTTGCCTTAATCAAGGAAAAACTGTCAACAGCCCCAATCTTAGTCCTTCCAGATTTTGAGAAGCTATTTCAGGTAGATTGTGATGCCTCAATAGTGGGAATCGGAGCAATTCTATCACAAGAAGGAAGGCCAATAGCGTTTTACAGTGAGAAGCTGAGTGAAGCACGCAAGCAGTGGACTCCCTATGATTGGAATTCTATGCAGTGGTTCAAGCTTTGCATACATGGGAGCATTATCTTATCCAGTGAGAATTCGTGCTGTTTAAAGATCAGCAGGCACTGAAATCCATTATTAATAGGATGCACGCGCGATGGGTGGCTTATATCTAGCGATTCACCTTCTCGCTAAAACACAAGTCAGGCCAACAAAACAAAGTTGTAAACGCACTAAGTAGGAGAACAGCTTTCTTAGTGACTATGAGGGCTGAAATCACAGGGTTCAAGTGCCTGAAGGAGTTATATGAGAGGCCGACGAAGATTTTGGCCAAGCCTGGGCAGTATGTAACGAGCCAATCCTTTAAAGGGTTGTACATGCAGGAATGATTTCTCTTTAATGGCAATCAGTTGTGTATCCCACGAAGCTCTTTGCGGGAGCAAGTGGTTCGTGAATTGCATAAAGGAGGATTAGGAGGACATTTGGGGCATGGTGAGACGCGAGAGCTAGTAGAAGAACGGTATTATTGGCCACAACTCAAGCGTGACGTGGAGAACCATGTGTGGCGGTGCTCAATCTGCCAAACTAATAAAGGCCAATCTCAGAATATTGGTCTTTACACACCGCTGCCTATTTCAGATGCTCCATGGGAGAATTTATCCATGGATTTTGTTCTAGGGTTGCTGAGGACGCAACGAGGAGCAGACCCTGTTTTTGTGGTGGTCGATCGATTTTTTCCAAGATGTCCCATTTTATTGCATGCAAGAAGACGAACGATGCAGTCCAAATGGCCAATCTGTTCTTTAAGGAGGTGGTTCGTTTACATGGGGTGCCACAGTCCATTACCTTAGATCGTGACACCAAGTTCTTGTCTCACTTTTGGCGGACTTTATGGAAGAGATTCGATACCTCTCTTAATTTCAATAGCACCAGTCATCCCCAGACTGATGGCCAAATAGAGGTGGTGAATAGGACCCTTGGAAATCTAATTCGCTGTATTTCAAGAGAGAAACCCAAACAATGGGATCTTGCTCTTGCCCAGTCAAAATTTGCTTTCAATTGCATGGTTAACAGGTCCACTGGCTAATCCCCGTTTGCGGCTGTGTATTGCTGTCCTCCAAAAGTTGCTTTGGATTTGGTATCCTTACCGAAGTTCTCGGGGAAGAGTGTTGCTGTAGAGAAAATGGCTGAGCACATTAAGACCATTCAGGAGAGTGTCAAGAAACATCTAGGGGAAACTTACGCCAAATACAAGGCCGCAGCTGACAAGAGACAAAGGAAAAGAGTATTTGAAAAAGGGACCTGGTTATGGTGTATCAAAGAAAAGAGAGTTTTCCATTGGGAACATACAAGAAGCTGCAGGCCAAGAAATATGGCCCGTACCAGATTCTAAAGAAAATCAATGACAACGCCTATGTGATTGATTTACCTGCTGACATGGCCATTTCTTCTGCCTTCAATGTGGCTAACAGACATGAATATTATCCGCCATATTCGGGTAACTCGGGGACGAGTTCTTTTTGCGCAGGGAAGACTGATGTAGAACAGCTCACTCGTGATTATCTGAGCATGCAGCATCACTGCAAATCAGGGAGGTTGAAAAGGTAAGGAGAATAAAAGAAAATAATAAATAAAGAAAAGTCAAAAGGATATTTGGTGTAGTTGCCAGCAATAGAATTCTCCGTTGCAAGAATTAAGGAGGATTCAGAAAATAAATAAGAAGATTTGGTGTAGTTGCCAATAATAGAAGATATTATTCTCCATTGCAAGATTTAAGGAGGATTCTACTCCATTAAATCTCATATTTCCCCTTTAATATTATTTCACGCATGCTTTCTTTTTTTATTTTATTTTTGACTTGCCTATACAAAGGCAAGAGATGTAAGTCTACAGACATCATCATTATCAATATAATTTCAGTTTCTCTCTTGTGAGTGTGTTCTTTGTGAATTCAAGGGTTTAACCCTGTTCTTTATCGTTTCCGCTACGTTAGTACATGATTGCAAATTTACCCCAAATGCATTGTATTTTATATTACTTCTAACTAATTATTTTTCTTCGGTGCAGTGTGAAGATACGAGATGCAATGTGTGGCAGCATATTGGTTGTGTTATTATTCCGGAGAAGCCTATGGAGGGTGTTCTACCTGTTCATCCCGACTTTTTTTACTGTGAACTCTGCAGACTCAGTCGGGCTGACCCGTATGTAGTGCCCATCTTTTCCTTTTCCTTTTTTGGATTATAATGTGCTTTAATGATTTCTGTGCATTCTATTGTTTTTTTTTTGGTATCTTAGTTGTTGGCTGCATCATATTGTGCCTCTTGTTTCTGTTGCTGGTTTAGCTTTAATATTATGATTGTTTTGTTATCACATCGCAATTTGAGACTCCTTTTATCTTTTTATTTTTATTTTTTTGGTTCTATTGACTGTTTAATTTATGGCATTAATTAGTTTGCTTTTAAGCTTTCCATGTCATAGTTTTGTGCAATTACAGGTTTTTACGCATTTCCTTTGGTTTTATATTATATTATAGGGTAAAGTACAATGACACCCCTTACGGTTTGGCATAAGGACAACCATATACAAGTTGGCCTATTTTTGGAGAATGACACCCCTTATCAGAATTTTTGATCCAAACAAGCCCTTAATACGTTGGAAAAGACGAGATTGCCCATCACTAATTAATTCATTTTGAGTGTAAATTACCAAAATTTATGAAAAGTCATTTTGCCCTTAGTATATATATACAATAATATACACACTATTACTGCCACTTCTTGTAGAGAGATTTGAAGCTGATGGGTGGAGGACGTCGGTAGTGGTAGTGGTTATGGTGGTACATGGCATGGTGAGGGCATATATAAACATACACAAACACACACACATATATATATACACTCATATACTACGTATATAATAAAGTTTTTGGGTAACTTTAGAGAAAGAGAAAGTTAGTACAAAAAGAGAAAGAAGTTAGTATTGATTGAACCGATGTGAAGCTGGTGGGTGGATGTCGGCGGCGGCAGTGGTGGTGGTGGTTCATGGCATGGTGGCGTTGGGTAGTGGTGATAGCCAGAAAGATGAGGCCGCCGGCGGTAATGGTTGTGGTGGTTCATGGCATGGTGGCGGTGCGTAGTGGGTGGTGATGAGGACAACGGACGGTGTCGCCTTCACCAAAGACTTCACTGGCCTCAAACTTGTTCTATATCACGCTCCCACGTGCCAAGATTTGTCTCTGCAATAGATCTAACGCGTGTACACGCGCCCTGCCGCTGGCCACTCGCTCCGAGCTCCCTTCACGTCGCCGAAACACCTTCTTCTTCCACAAATGAGAAGTCAAAAAGCCCATCAAAGAATCATTCCGCAGGCGCTTGTTTCTGCACCATTGGCATCACCAAAAACTGAATCAGCGATTCTAGAACCAAAATCACTACTCGTTGCCGCAACTCTCCTCATCCATGCAAGCTTCAAGGAAAAAAAATCTGTTCTTACCCAAAGTTCAGTCTGCCCTTCGCTGGTAAATTCAGTCTCTCGCTGGTTCAGTCCGCTCCTCGCCGTTTTAGTCGCTGCTCCAGTGAATACACAATGGTGGGTGGTTTTGGGGATGGAGACGATGGTGGTGAGGGGTTTAGGGGTGGAGAGGGCTAGGGATTTGGTGGTGGGTTTGAGGGAGAGGCAGTGGTGGCTTGTTTGGGTTAGGGTTTGAGAGGGGAAAGAGAAGAAGAGAGAGGAGAGAGAAAAATTGGGGTTTTCAAATGGGTTGTACCCAGTAATCCATTTACACCTATTTGATCCAAGGGTATTTAAGTCGATCAAAAAGGGTTGTATTGTTTAAATTGATAATTTAATATGACAAAGGGTAATAAAGTCAATTCATCATTGTCAGGTGCTTTGTCAACTTTACCAAACCTGAGGGGGTGTCATTGTCCAAAAATAGACTAACTTGCATATGTCTATCTTTGTACCAAACATTTGGGGATGTCATTGTACTTTACCCGGGTGTCATTGTACTTTACCCTATATTTATAATATATTATAGGGTAAAGTGCAAAAAACTCCCCTGAACTTTCGACCAATTGCACAAAACCTCCCTGAATTAACAAATGCCCCCCTAAACTATGATAAAGTTGCAGTTAAGGACAGTAGACAAGTCTCCGGCACCGATAAAAGAGGATTACAATATTACCCTTTAGTGGAAGGACGTTGTTTTAGTGTTTTCTTAACCTCAGTTGCTGATGTGTCAAAAAAAAATCTTAACAATCTAATAGCATTTTGACAACACAGTAGTACTTTATCACCTTAATTATTTTATCCAAAAACACGGCCTTCCACATAAGGCTGTCTCTCCTACGCCCTAGTTTTTCCAGTCAAAGATATTACAGACATATCGTAACCTTCAATACCAGCATTTGTTCTTCAATGAAGTTCTCGATTTGGGCCTTCAAAGATGCTCACGGTTTATTTAACTGGGTTTTGTATGATGCTGATGCTAAGTTACTGGTTTGCTCATTGGGATTGTATCGTGAGGCTTAGAGCTTCTCGCCGGCGGTTATAGAGTTTGAGATCAGTCTCTCACCGGTTTGCTCCTTGTTGATGCTTAGAGTTTCTCGTCGGCGCCGACGATCATGGAGTTTGAGGTTGGGCTCTCACTGGTAACCACTGTCATCTCCACAATCCCGACCCACAACCACCACTAGCCTGACCCACAACCACCACCAACACAGTATTCCTAAAAATGAACCACCACCAACATTAGAAGTTGGAATCCTATCCCTACCAAATCATCAGCCAATCAACAATCACAAACGAACCCCAACCTTCCTTTTATTTAATTATTTAGTTTTTTGGACAAGCCTTCCTTTTATTCACGCCACACACAGTGCAGAAAAGGAAGCCATTGAAGTTGGAGGAGGAGATGGGTCTAGTGATGGTGGTGTTATGACAGCAACTACGGAGGTTAGAGCTCGGGGGAGGAGATGGAACTGGCGCAGTGGTTTGGGACGGTAGTAAATCAGCTTTAAAATCGGCGACCAGGCAAATCTGTGAGACCACGGCAAATCACAAATCCACAGTCCGATAGTCACCAAGGACGACGGCTAGTTCGGAACCCTATAGTGACACTATGATAGATGATCGAGCCGGCCGTTACAAGAAAGAAATTTCAAGAACGAGACGGAAACGCGCGTTGCCGGCTCGTTTGCAGCGATGATGGTAGCGACTTCGGCGGCTACAACAGGTTCATAGCGGTGATGAGGTCGCGACGGCGATATTGAGAGAGAGAAGGTGGGCTGAGGATGCGGCGGTGGTGAAATTGAGAGAGAAGGTGGGTGAATTGACGGCATCGCGGAGAGAGAGATGAGGGGGAAACAAAAGTGGGTTAGGGTTTTTTCTTTTTCTTTTTTCTTTTTTTCTTCCAGAAAATTAGCATCAGCCGCGATAAGGACGCCAAACACCTCTAGCACCAGCGGCGATGAGGGCGCCGACCTCCTCTAGCACCAGCGGCGATAAGGACCGTGACCACCTCTTTCTCAAATCCATCCCTCGCCGCACCGAGGCCTGTGATTTTTTTAGGGCTTTAATTTGGGATTTTTTTTATTTTTATTTTATACATTTAATAGTATAAAGGTAATTTTGTCATTTTCAAAATATATTGCCGGCATGTATTCATCACGCGCCTAATTGCCGGAGAAATCAAACGGAATTTTGCCTGTGTGTAATTTTTGCAAAAAAATTGATAGTTGAGGGAATTAATTGTACAAAAAATAGTTCAAGGGGGGTTTTTAGGGGGAGAGAGTATAGTCCAGGGGGTTTTTTGCACTTTACCCTATATTATATTATACGCGGGTGATTAACTCTTGTGATATGTTGTGCTTCCCAATGGCGTCAGTTTAAATTTCTTAGTTCAATTTGTTATTTGGTTTCTTTCATTCTGCATCTGTATGATGCTGCGAATTTTCACCATCAGCATTACATTTCAAAATTTTCAACCAGTCAATTGATTATCTATCATGTAATTCTACTTGTTGAATTCCTCAGAACTCGTCTTTTTTTGACTTACCTTCCTACAATGTTGTTGTTGTCATTGCACATTATTGGAGTATTGATGATTTTGTAAGAACTGTGGGAAGTTTTCTATCTTTATTCCTTTCCTTTTTTTCTTTTCCCCCTTACAATTTGAAGCTGGAAGTGCCAAGTAACATACATCATTTGATTGAATGAAGGGAAACA